AAACAGCCATAACACATCCTGCTGACACAGATCCCACTGATGTGGAGAAACTCACTGGAGCAGACCATGGACACCTGGTCACTGGGGCGACAGTTGAGGACATGTGGAGGTCTGCATTTCCCCAGGTGAGACTCAGTTCCTGATCAGTGAAAGCCTGTCACACACTTGTCACTGTCCCCTGTCCTTGACAGGTATGATCTGTAGATATTTGTTGCAGAGCCACAGCCCAGCTGTCTGCAGACCACAGATGCATCCATGGAGCTCCAGGACTCTTGGTGAACCTTCTGCCAGGTCTGGTTGTAGTAAACCTCCACCCAGCCCTCACAGTCACTCCCTCCAGACAGCAGCCTGACACCCCCATCAGAGGAAGAAGGGGTTGAACCTGTGAAAAAATCCAAAAGTGATAAGAAGGACCCTAATAAAATAGGAAAGTCTCCATACTGTGGAATTTAATTGCTATTTATGGTAATATTTGCTCCGTCTCTCTGGACTATAACTGACTTGTCAGTCCTCACCAGTGCAAACGACTCCTGCATCCTGGTCATGAGAACAGGCTGTTCGTCTCCATGGGGACACTGCACACTGGGAGAGGCGAGTCTCATTCCCCTGACAATGAAACACATCGGGCCAGATGGGACCAGTGCCCCCCCCAAACCAGGCCTGTCCCAGGGCAGCCACAGCGCCCCCACATTTCAGCTGCTGGCACAGGACAGTGGCGGCTCTCATGTCCCATGATGCATCACACAATGTTCCCCATGTTCCATTGTACCTCATCTCCACTCTACCAGAGCAGTGGTCAGGACCATCCCTCAGCCTGAACCGTGTGTATCCTGGGAGCAGCATAAAGAGAGAGAGCGAAGAATGAAGATGAGATACACTGAAATGTCACTCAGATAATAATAATAATAACAGAGTGAGGGTGTCTGAGAGCAATGATACTCTTACCAGAACACACTAGGCTCACATCATTCTCATGGCCACAGCTCCTGTTATGTGTCATTTTGGGACAGAAAACAAGATGAGACTCGTTTCCCTGACACTGAAACTCCTCAGAC